ATCGAACCACTGACCTCTGCGATACTAGTGCAGCGCTCTACCAATTGAGCTAACAAGCCAACTGGGAGCAGGCTGTTAAGTTGATTCGTAATAAACCCATTACGATAAATCAGATACAATGAATATAGCATCGCAGATGTCAGTGGTTCGAATGCCATACAGGCCTGATTTTTTTCAGGTCTTATTTTCGCTATTGCATAAATAGCGCTCTCTACTGCAAGGATCGTGCATCATACATATCTACAACCGCAGTTCAAAACATATGAACTTCATATATTCATTGTATCAGAAATAGTAAAATCAACAACCATGCAAACAAAGTTTCCATGACTCGTATAAGTTTCATTCTTTCGCAATCATCAGACGGTGGTTATTCCAATGGAAGACATACCTTATATACAGAATGCTAATTACGCGGTGAGAAACTTTTGTAAATAACAGTAAATTTATGGCACTTAAGCCCACATAATTTTGTATGCCTTCTCATTCCTTTTCTTGTCGCTTTTTAAGGGTTATATACTCATCGTTTTGGAATGTGATGCGATTAACGCTGTATGGAGTGAATTAGTAACTCATTCCTAACCATTGTTTTTCAACTGTGGTATAATCCTCCAATTTCTAGTAATAAGTTAGAATACCTTTGCAGTTAAATGTGAGTCAGATCACGTACGATAGAAAGGTTGGTCTTCAGGAGCAGAGCAGATAGTTAGTAATTACCTTAGACCTTTGTATATATAAAAGAAATATCTTATGATAAATTATCAAAACACTGTAATTCGTGGACAGAAAGACTATCAGGACAAGTAATAAATCAGAGTGTTATATGGAAACTACCTCTAGATTTCTAGTGAATTTCTTGACATGATTAATTTTCAGCTTGATTTGAAATATCTTAGGAATGGATTTAATTATTAATAATAGATTTTTGCTGGCTGAGTATCTGTATCTCGCAGGATATCCTGTGCAATGTGTCATAAGTTATTGTAGTTAAAAACATCTTGCAATAATTATAGTGTACATGAATCTTGACTTAAAGATCTTTCAATTTTAACAACTTCGAGCAAATTTTCTTTTTTTTCTACATTTCCTACTGTCCTATTAGAAGCTATATTTGTTTAATTAACCCTGAGTTAATAACACTATTATTACTTAGTTAGCACCCTATAGAATAACTTTTGCATCCACTGCTATGCATATAAATATTTTATTTTATTACAAGAAAATTACTAAAAGAGTTTTGTTATTAGACCTCGATCACTGTATTATAAAGCTACACAAACTGTTGAATTGTTAAATTTCCTTCTATAGGTTTTCTTTCCTTTTCTTTGCCTTGTTGTTTAATACTATTGCTTGGTATAAATGACTCTTTTTAGTTACAAGAAAAATATATATATTATTTCAACAATTTATATAAATTATGTTTTGAGGCTTATTATCATTGTTATAAATAATGTTTATTGAAGATCCTAACATATTTGCAGCAAAATTGTTGAGTTTCCCTTGCAAGTTCTCTGGAAGGTTGTCAAAGATCTTGGGAAGAATTGTGAAGATGTTGGGAGGAATGTTGAAGACCACAAAACATATTGGCAAGACCTCTGAAGATTCTCAAAGATCTTGGCAGGAATGTTAGATCTTAACAAGAATTTTGGCAACAATCCTCAAAGGTCTGATCATGCAAGAACATTGAAGATATTTCAAATTCCCACCAAGATATACCAAGATTGTGAAGGATCTTCTATTTTCTTATCAAGATCATCAAGGATCTCATATTTCCTTGCCAAGATCTTCAAGGATCTTGAATTTTCTTGTCAAGATCTTCAAGGATCTTCTGTTTTCTTGCCAAGACCTTTTAAGGATCTTTGAAATTCTTGACAAGATCTTTTGAAGATCCTTGAAGATCTGGACAAGAACCTCAAAGATCTTGACAGGAAAATGAAAGATCTTTGAAGATCTTGGCAAGAAAATAAAAGATCCTTGAGGATCTTCAGGCAAGAAAATGCAAGATCCTTGAGGATCTTGGCAAGAAAACAAAAGATCCTTGAGGATCTTGGCAAGAAAACAAAAGATCCTTGAGAATCTTGGCAAAAAAAAAAATTAAAGATTCTTGGGGATCTTGGCAAGAAAATGAAAGATCCTTGAGGATCTTGGCAAGAAAATAAAAGATCCTTGAGGATCTTGGCAAGAAAATAAAAAATCCTTGAGGATCTTGGCAAGAAAATGAAAGATCCTTGAGGATCGATCTTGGCAAGAAAATGAATGATCCTTGAAGATCTTAACAAGAATTGTTAAGATCCTCAAAGATTTGTCAAAGATCTTCATGAAGATCCTTGGGAGGATCCTCAAAGGTCCTCATTAAGATCTTCAAAGATCCTTAAAGATCCTCCAAAGATTTTCACCAGGGTCAGGCAGTAACTTTGTGTTATCCACCTTTGCCTTCTGCTTTGGCAGATAACACAAACTTTGGCCTTGACAATCATCTCTACCATGCTCAACCTCATCCAATAATTGTTAAATAAATACTGTACC